AGACATCTCAGCATGTATAAAAATCCATGAATCATAGCTGCTGGAAATTTGTACTTTTTTGTAAAGGCAGTGAAATGGCTTTATACTTTGCAGAAAAATAAAGAGAAAATTAAGAGGGAGGAAATTGAGGGAAAGCTTAAACGAAGCATGTTTGAGTGTGTGCCACATGATGGCTTCTGAAACAGACTGGGAGGAAAAGAGAGGGAGAATGAAGACATCAGCATGAATAGAAACATCTGAATGGAGGCACTGTGGACTTTAAAGGTGAGATGTCTTACACTCTCTAGATCCTCTTGTCTAACGCCTCTGTGTGGGCTTACAGTGTCCCTCCTAGTTGCCTAACCCTCAAATCATGTCACTCAGAGGGATTAAAGAAGCTTAAACCCCTCTCAGCCTGCCATCAGGCACTTTGCACAAGGAATCACCGCCTGGTAGCAGGGAAGGATTCATATTCTGCATGCACTTTACAAATTCACTACTCGTTGGATATATAATAAGAACATGCACTAATGAAGACATGATAGTTTGTTCTTCCTGACTTCAGTATAAGTCTCAAACCTTGCCCCATCCTGAAGTCCATAATTCACTGAAGAACTCACCTTCCAATCATAGTAGAGTGCTGCTGCACTGCGGCCTCTAGGAGGCGCTCTAGGATGGTCCATTCACCCATGGTTGGAGTGAAGAGGCATCCACTGGGCACAGAAAATCAGGGCTGACCCCACTTCTAGTCAGCAGGAGTAACAGTACTGGTGTTAATAAGAGTCTTCAAGTCCACTTGTTGAGGTAAGATGAGGTAGGGAGCAGTTTCAGGTGATCGGTTTGATGTCAAAGAGGAGTCAAAACCCCGAAGAAGTTCAGTGACTCCTCACTGTGATCTCACTGTCTTCTTTTTTGTGTCTGCTTCAAAAACACTCGCACTCACAGCCTTAACTGCACCTGAGATGGTTGGACTGAAGCTTCTGTGCAGGCTGTGCAGCCTTGTGCGCGTAACTCTCCGTGCATGCACCAGCTCATGTGAGCATCTCTTCCCACTTTGCTCCTCTGTGGGCACCTGACCCTGTTTACCTCTTAAAACAGCTGGTCGGTCAGCTGTTCTCACACTGACAGACACACACACACACACAGTGACACCATGTACTTCCACTGAGTTTTGAGGAGCAGCCTTAGTTTGTTCAAACAGACATCCATCACTTGTACATTAACACTCCACCCTCACACACTGGTTCTTTGACATCATCTTGCAGTAACGCTGGCTGGGCTCAGGTCCATACAGTCATGTGAACCTGAGTAACCAGGGACCTTTGCTTGCTTTCCACTCTCCCATCTTCTTCATTTCTTCCTCTCTCCCTCTTGTCTCCTCTTTGTCTGTCCTCTCTTCCAGCTACTTTGGGAGGTATTTCTTTTCTTCCTCTCTGTTGCTTCTCTCCTCACCTGGTGTGGTTCAGGCAGCTCTGGAGAGAGGCATCAGAGTCCTCCACCGTCTTCCTTCCTCCCTCCCTCTGCTCAAAACCGTGTAAGAGGCGCTGCTTTCTTCCTTGTTGCCTTTCTCTCTGTTCCTCTCAGCGTGGTTTACAAGAGGCAGCTCTCCTTTCTTCTCTTCCCTTCATCTTGTTTCCTTCCACATTTGATTTCTCAGTCTCTCTCACTCTGTTTGCGCCTTACACCTGCCTCCCACTCCCCCTCTCTCTCTCTCTCTCTCTCTGAGCCAGTAGGCAGCCAGACCAAGCGTGTGTCTAGAGGATTATGGAGAGGAATCATCTTTCTGCTCCTCCCCCCTCTCGCTCACTCTCCATCACTGTTTATCCCCCCTCCTCCTCCTCCTCTTCATGTCTTGCTGCACCACCACCAACAAAACCATACAAACCATTTCACACCTCCCTCTCACAGCACATGCTTCTCATGAGTGTCTCCCATCTATGTTTTCATCCTCTTCTCAACTGTGTGCACTGAGACCTACTGTAACTGCAGGAATGATCCATTTACACACAACCACACATGCAGACAAAGAGACACAGGAGGCAGTGCCATGTCGAGGCAATGCACGGATACTGAGTGACACAGGAGACGTGTGTGACAGAATGGAATTAGAGAGTTATTAAGATCTGGACAAGTCTCAGTATTTCTAAAATTCTAGGCTACAGCCTCGACAGGAAGGTCTTCAGTTTAGTTTGTCTGAACAGTATCTTTGTTATAAACCCACAACATAATCAGTTTATAATGCCATAAATTAGGTAGCAGAAAATGCCTGATATTTTGTGCTATAGCTTAATTAAACAGCTATAATCAATTTTAACAACTTATCATTACCGATTTGTATGAGAAAGGGGTCACTCGTAGTAACTGCTTGGGTCCTACCTAAAGAAGGATATGGTAAGAGGCAGGAACACTTTGACAGCTATGTCTTTGCTATGACTTTATTCCCTAAGCACTGCTTATGTGCTCAATGGCTGTCAAAGTTCTCCTTCCTCTTTGCAGGTAGTTTTTTACTTGTTCACGGCTTACAGTCATTAAGATGACTTGTGCAGATGTATACACCTGCTAATGTGAACAAGTGTACCTCATGAGTACATACACTATGACAAACCCTACAAGTGAAGCTGTGTGTGTGTGTGTGTGTGTGTGTGTGTAGGGAGGAAGAATGAGAATTCTGGCCAAATATTTTTTTTAAATGTCGTTTTCTGCTTTCAAATTGAAAAGTATTCATTGCTATGGATTTTGATGAGCTGAATTCAAATGTGACTTCAAAAGTAATCTGACAAATTTTGGTCATTTTCAAGCAAAGTGTATACATTGCCTGGGTCTGATCTTACAAACCAGAACCAATCAACAATTATAGATATCCTCACTGTTTTCAGTGACTCAGAATTAGTAAAGATTGATTGTGTTTCAAAAGGGTTTAGTGTTAAAACATCTGAAAACCAATGACATTCCTAATAAGGTGGGCTGTATTTTTGGTTTAGAGCCAACCTAAAATGAACATCATACCCATGTTAACATTGCTGACATGAATGAGTATAGTCTCACAACTGCTGCTAGCAGGACTGCTGGTCTCGTTTCTGCTTTCTCTCATCGTAATTCTCCATATTTTTCATAATTCCTGTAGATTTGTAACTACACATCTACAGGACAGAAATCTTTTAGATTTATCGTTTCTTTTTGTACAAGAGGCACTGCGCATAGATAAAGAGAGGAACCACAGACATCTAGAATAAATCAGTTTTATCAGTAAAATGCAAATTACAATGTGTTAGAAATCAGTTTAGTCCAAGACTATATTACTAAGGCTGAGTAGTATTTTACTGAGTTCCTAACAGCATTAAAAGTAGCACAACATAATTATTACAACACAGAGAGTGACTGTTAGAGAATGATTCATGTGATACCTGCTGCACAAACAGCCATGTATTCTAGTATATTCTACACTAAATCTTATAAGGACAAAAGCAATGAATGAGGTTCCTTTGGGACAATCTGTGGCTTTATAACTGGTTTTAATTCATGACCAGGTAATTGGCAGAAAGGCCTTGATGCCAAAATGTGAGGTAGTCCCAGGTATGGGGGGGTGGGGCTGTAAAAGATTACACTTTCATTCTGATTAATGGATAAGAAGCTTTGGCAAAGCTCCAGAGACCATGGGACTGTGTGTGTGTGTGTCCTTGTTCACACCACCAGGACACTGAAGGCAATTATGGTTTTAAGCCAGTGAGCTGGACTCAATTATCACATGCTAACTTCCCCGGGCCCATCTGTCTGCATTTTTTTTTTTTACCTAAGATTATAAAAAAAATATTAATACAGTTCAATTAAACATCTCTTAATCACATAATCCAGGTTTAGGGACTGAAATGCATTTATTTTTCATTTCTTCTTCTTAACTCTTTAATCACAGCTGAACACTTTGTGGTCTTAATCCAGGTCCCATGGATTCTCAAGCATGTACATAAAAAAAAAAAAAATCAGTGTGTATGAGAAAAAAACCAAATGTTTGCCCTTGTAGAGTTTTTTCCTTCAGCAACTTTCACAATAAATGATTCTGGAATACAGATGGAACTTCTGAACTGAATGATTTATGAACCATTACTTATATGATATTCTGATGGAACTCCTTCAAGCTTTCACCAAGACTTTTTTGATATATACACAGTTCCATTATGTTGCACTTGTGGCTATAAACGTTACCCAGCTTCTTGTGCTCAGTGGCTCGGCACTAAGTGATCTCTCTAAAAGCCCTCTTCTCCACATACTTCAGCTTGTATCTCCTCTTGAACCTAAGAGATGAGGAACGGTGGAAACATACATTTTAATCAATACACACTTTGTGAATCTGTAAATCACTGTGGGCCTTTGATGAGATGTTACATAAGAGGTCCTTACTTGGCTCTTTCTCTGGGTTCAATCAGATTCCTTTTTTGCAGACTCTTGAAACGGTCCTTGGCGACGCTGCCCTCTGGCTGCAGACACGACACGTTACAAGTGTGAGAGAGGAGAGAGGAATATTGCTCTGACTCAATATTCAATTTCCACTCAAATTATCAAATCGCATTTACATCACAAAGGCTGAGTATTATTCAGAGAAAAAAGCCAAGAGCTGGGAAATTTTCACTGGCAATTACATCAAATTAAACTATAATGATCCCTGTGGGGAAAAGTGGGTCATCGCAGTATTAGAGAATAGGACAGAGCTTAGAACAGGGCAATACAGAGAATACAACAACCTAAAGAGAATACAACAACCTAAACTCATTACAGATAAAGACAATGTGTCCTCACTGGCAAAGGTCAAAGTAGATAAGCAAATACACTTTACGGCAGTTAGTCAAGTACCTTGAGTCGTCGCAGGGTGCCAGCCAGCTCGTCACTTAACTGAACCTCCAGGTCTGGAGCCTGAAACCTGCAAAAAAGTTTAAAAAACAAACATTTACCATATGGATATAAGCTCCATTCACATACTGTACTGTGCTCAAATAACACAACATTTATTTTAATCCAGTCAACATGTCTCCCTAACTTTAGATGACACGAGAACAAACGGGATTTATGAATAAAGCCGTATTAAGCAAGATTTAGCACAAATTCAGATAAATCAAGTAAAAATTGTCTTGAAGTGTTTTCTCCCTGCTGTACTCTGGGAGTAGAGCTGTTAGACCCAAGAGGACGGGTTCTGTAGCACAGACAGAGTACGACACAAAACGGCTCACAGTTGCCTTATAACATTGTGTGTGTGTCAACTAATGCTGAACACAATGCAGTAGTGGCCAGAACATCAATATTACTGGGGGAAAAAAAAAATCCACTGTATAATTTGCTTGTGTGACTGCAAACCTCTTTATTTGACATTGTGTCACTGCAACGCCACTGAAAACCACAGGCTCTATTTTCTGTATACGTTCGTTTTGGAGCCGGTTATTACCGATGCACTATCTGACTGCCACAATGCTCTCTGGCTGTCATGACCACATTCTGTATGACATAGTTGTAGAGGCAGGGCAGGAGGGGCAAAGAGGAGTGGAGGGAGAAGAGGAGGGGATACTGCCTGAGTTTGTTTTGATTCTCACTTTGCTACTAACGGTTGAAAATTAGAGGGAGACGTTGGCTAATGCAGCTTTAAACGAAACCCCTTTTAGACATGCACCCCTGTCCAGGAACTTGCCTGCTTATTTCACATCTAGGCGCCAAGTCTGAACACAGCTCTGAGTCACATTGCTGGAGAACTGTTAATGGCAATTTTACCTGGTCAGACCTGGTCAAATAGTCGGCTACATGCCTGAATTGAAGTGGACAGAATGCCCGTAAAGGCATGATCAAAATTACTGCATGTAGCAGTATTTTATTTTGAACTGATACAAGGAAGCCACAGTTTATGAGCATGAGCTAACGCAAAATGGCTGGAAACCGCAAATCGACAAAACTGCTTGTCCTCCAGGCAGATGAAGAAATTACTAATCAGGACAGCCTTTTGTCTTGTATATTATTCTATGCCATATGACGTTGGACATTGTGTGAACACTGTGGCTGTACCCGGCTAGGTCCTGCTATGCTCGAACAAGCTTTGCCAAGAATTTCACACACAGCAGATGCCTGAATTCTAAAAAAGCAACTGCTATATGGCTACATGTAGCCTGAAAACTGATGGGTACCATGTCTCAAAGGGGTACTCCCTTTAAGAAGCTGAAGCAAGTAGTAGGAGACTGTTAGGTGTGTACTTGAGTCTGCCAAGACGTCTGGGCTGGGCTTTCTGGGCCTCCTGCTTGGCCTTTCGTTGTTTCTGTTTGGCCTTAGTCTTCTGTTCCTGCTGTCTGATGGACACCTTAATGGAGCGAAGCTGGAAGAGCTGCTGCCTTTGGCCAGTCTGCCGTCTTTCAGCCAGCCGCTGCTGCTCCTGTGGTGGGAAGAGTAGTAGTAATGTGCATATTTATAAGGTGCCAAAAATATGTATATTGCAGTTTTAATGGCTCATCTGTAAACTAAAACCACATAGTTTTTTGCTGTACATGTGCACAGTTAAAAGGTTAAACTCCAATCTGTCTTTTTTTTACGTTTCTGCGTCAGCACTGCAGTGCTTCTCCTCACTTTTCAGTTTTTGGACTTAGAAGTTATACACAAAAATATTTTATATATTTAAAAAGCTAATATAAATAAATCATACATTGTTCCATTTGAAAAGCCATTTTCTCCACCCATCCTAGTTTATTTTTGAAAAGGTGAGGTTTTCAATATGAGTGGAGTAACTTCGGTCGAAAAATGTTAAGTAGCTATTGTCAAACGTCTTTGACGTTTCCTATGGAAACAATACAAACCTTCCCATGAAAGTGTGTAGCTGAAATCATTGAATTAACATTTCCATATTAAAACATTTTATCATGTGCGCGTGTGTTCAATTTAAATACCTTAATTCTGACTGCCTTCTCTCTCTTCCTCTGTCTCTCGGTCTTCTTCTCTCCCAGGGCAATGCCTCCCACTGCTACATCCTCCTCGTCCTCATTATGAACTGTTTCTTCCTCGTTCTCCTCCTCTACCAGGCCCTCCACCTGCTCTCTGAAGATAGTCTCCTGCAGAACACACAAACATGTTAGATAAAATAAAAACCCTGTGCTAGATATAACAAAGATCAAAGTTTCCTCTGTACTGAAACAACAGCAGAGCCAGAAAAGGCTTATGTGTACCTCTGTAGCTGTGTCTGCTTTGTTCACAGCCAGCTGTCTCTCTATTTTGTCTTCCTCCTTTTGTTTCTTTACCTCCACCTCATGAGCCTCCTGCAGCAAGGCCTGGGTTCAGAGCAACAGAATGAGGAAGAGATTAACAGTCAGTCACCGCAACTGCAATTAGACACTGCAGCTGAAGCATGTTAGACACCACTTTCCCAGTCTGTAGTTGTTTCGCTGAAGTGAATCTGCAAAAAACTAAATGGTGATGGCTTTGTGAAAAGCTACCAAAACATTTAATCAAAGCTATTTCAGAGTATCTCTTCATCAACACATTAGTGTTTTTAATAAATACCCATACTTGCCAAAATTAATAAAAAAATTTATAAAAAAACAACAACTTATGAATCATTTTTAAAACAAATGCGCTTAAATTGCATATTGCCTCAACTAATCACACAATATTTACAGCTCTAAATATGAAGACATTAAAAAGGCTGTGTGAGTTTCAATGTCACTTGATAAAAGCTAATCCTTAATCCTAAAATTCCTGTACACTAAAAATGTTGATGCTTAGCCATACTACATGTAGCCTTTGTACATCTGTAGGTTGTAGAAGTGCGAGTTACCTGATGGGAGAAGATGTCTGGGTTGTAGGACCCTCCAGGGGCGATCACTTCCACAGCAGGGAGCACAGATGGCTTCTCATTCAGCCTCTCTGGACGCTGACCCAATGGTGATGCAGTCACATTAGTTAAACCATCACACACAAACTCTCAAATATTAGTCCCCTGCTGGAAACTGATTAGATTACATTTAATTGTTGAAAAATAGTCACTTTTTACCTTGACCAGCTTCTTGCCAGTCTGTTGAAGGTACCAGGGATCACCTGAGTCTTTGGCTGTGTTAGACAGGAAAAAAAATAGTTTCAAAGATTATATATGAAGGTGATATATGACCGTTTACACTACAGCTGTCTGAGCTCCATGTTGGTCTTCACATTCGCATAGAGGAAATACTGGGAGTGCAAGGATAGGATCATCACTGGACAGATGCGCACACGAACACACATGCAGCACTCACTCTCTAATCCCCATATGTCGTAATATTCTCTGTCTGGGTTGTTGTTGGCCTCTGTCACTGCCTTCTTGGTTGTTTTGGCGACCGGTCGTCTCTTCAGCAGCTGTTTCTGTCTCCTTGGCACCACACCTTTAGCTGCCAGCTGCTCAGCCTTCTGGGCAATGCGGCGGATTTTCTTAGCATTTGGTTGCTGGTAGGCCAGCACACTGGGAAGAAAGGCAGACAAGTTGGTAATTTGGCTATCTAGGGCAGGAAGAGGTTAAGGAAACAGGTAACATGAGGTATGATGAAGGCGCTAAACTGGCAGCTAGTATGCTAGATGTTTAGACCAAAATGATTTGACGTGGTCTAAAGTGTAGTGCGCTTGCAAATCCTCAGATCTCAGGACACTATTCACACAAGTCTCCTGAGCTCCCGTGTGCTGTCTTCACATTCCCATGAAGGAAATACTGGGAGCGCAAGGATGAGATCATCACTGGATACTGAACTACTGACCTGCTTGATTCACACATACTGAAGCATTCTTAAGAACTGAATCCACCCATAAGAATAAACTGTTTACAGACAACTGTGCTGTTTCTTCTGACAGTATCTCCCCACTTAGCTATAATGAATTTAACAATGCAGGGAGTGTAGGGCATACAGGTTCAAGATCAATACTGACTCTTTAGGCGGTGGGACGAGGGAGTCATGCTGCAGGATCAGGTCTATCCTTAGAGGACGTGATGCTTTCTTTTTCCTCTTCCGTTCAACAGGTTCTGCTGCTTTACAAGTAAAAACAGATTATTCACTAACTAATGCTTTTATCCTGATAAATTGTTACAACTCTATGTCCAAAGAAATTTATTTTTATATTTATTTCTGTTGTTCTTATTTAGTTTGTTTGTATTTAATGTTTATATTAGATTATATTTCCAGTTTTGTTTCCATCTTAATATCCATTATATTTTTATGTTATACACTGAACATAGAGGGAAGACACTGAATGACAGAGCATCTTAATTGAAGACACTTCTATTCAATGCTTGATACTTGTGTAAGTATGTTTTTACCAGTCTCTTCAGTTTTCTTCGGTTGTCCAATATCCAAAAAGAACAAACTGTCATCTGACTTCTCAGACAGCAGACCCCTTAAATACATACAGATCACATCATGTTACATTGTAGGCTTATAACTGAACAAACTGCTTTTTTCAACATTTTTACAGCCAACAATAACTTCATTATCAATTATTCTGCCAGTTATTTGTTACATGTACAAATTGTCAATGTTTAAGTCCATGACAAGGTCGCAGAGCTCACTGAGGTCTAAATACTTGTTTTGCACAACCAGCGGCAAAAACTGTGTAAGAACTTAGTGATGTATGCAAATAAATGACAAAATCCTCACATTATGGCACGAACAAGCAATTGTACAGTACTTGCTTGACTGTTTATTACTTTTACATTTTGTTACATTACATTACTTTTCTCTTGATCAACTAAATCATTAGTTCAGCACTATTACTAATACTTCAATGCCATAAGACATATCAAAAATGACTTGACACTGCAAGGCTACACAATTTAGGAAATTCACAATACACAAAAAAGCATTAACAACAGAAGTAACTTGAACAAAATGTCGCCTTTTAAATTACTTGACTAAACTAACGACTTGTAATTCCAGACTTAAAATGGGTTGCGATAAATGTGTTTTCGTTTCAAAGACTAATAAATATGTCGCATATTGCCCACGTTTATCGTTACACCAACAACCCCGGGATCCGCGTGAGGAAATTAAATAAATCGGACGGTATATCAAATTTAAATGAACATTATGCCACTTGTTAGTCATCCTCGCGTTTGTATACCGTACCCCGTGGTCCTCTCCTGGAGCCTGACGTCTTCTAAAAACTCCTCCACATCATTTATGTCGCTGTGTTTGTTCCAGTTCTTTTTCTTATTCTTGTTCACACGTTTTCTTCGACTGCTGACCAAATCTGCGGGGTCAGAAGTGGACTTTAAATTTAAGAAACCAGGCTGTGAAGCTATCACACGTTTAAGCCTCCGGGCCGCCGCCATGATCCTCTTCTTCTTCTTCGTCTTCTTCTGATGGTGTTTATTGCAAGCCAACCTATGGTGCATTACCGCCACCTGCTGGGCTGAAGTGTGGAACGATAATAGAGCCGTATCTTTTCAAAAAGTACGCCGCCATGTTGGAGGATAGAGAAGACGTTTCTTCTTCTTTAGTGCTGAAGTGCCGGCGTGAATGTGGTACAGGCATGTGTACAGCCACCTACAGGACTGACAGTGTAGACGCTGTAAAAAAAATAAAAAAAAATAATTAATAAATAATCATGTTTCATTACACCAGAGTTAGAATATTATACAGATAGTTTGGCATTATGCTACCAGCAATTACGAATCATATGTTGATTTAAATACTTTTTATATTCATTATATAATAAACCGTAAAACTGTGAATGCAGTAAGCTACTAAAAATCTGAAAGCCTGAATGTCACTCACTTTATATTCTCTGTCAAAGTGTTACTGCTTAAGTTGCGTTTTTATTTACATGTCAAATATATACAATAATAATAAATAAAAACTAATCTAAACTAATAAAACTGTCAATAATCAGGGTTTGAGAAAAACTTGGTGAACGACATTCCACGTGAGTGTAGACTATTCATCATGTTCTTTCATGTATGTAGTGTTTGTCCCAAATGCATCATGGGAAACGTGTCCCCTATTGCTCTCCTGTGTTCTTTTTCCTTTTTCCCCTCCCTTCATCTTATTGCGAGAACAACGCTTAAGAGACTCAAGAATAAATTCCCATTTTAGAGCAGCAATCTCTCACTAAGTTTTCAAAGGTAAGTATCACCAATTCAATAAAAGTCCAATTTATCAATTAATGTTGTGATAGCTCTTGGATGGACGTGTTTTCGTTTATTTTCGGTGAAACAGAAAATGCAGAGCACTCGAGCTATTATCTTCGTGCTTGGGGAGTCGGGGATCTATAAAGCACTTGTGATCTGCTCTAATTTGACTCCAAAATGCGCTTTAAGTGAGGGGTCATCTGACAAATTATTGTTCATCATTTGATCTCTTGACATGTCTAGGGTCGTCCTCAAAAAGTATATCCCACTTTTATTCCGCGGTTTTTATATTTTTCCGTCGTTTTTATCATCATCTTTCGTTTGCTACCGCGATTTTCCCCTTCCCGTTTACATTCTTCCAGCCAGCAGCCAGCCATCATCGTTAGGTATGCTGGTTTGTTGACACCAGACAGCCGGCGTGGGCGGAGCCGCCTGTTTTTTCTTTAAAATAGCTCATTGTGATTAAAAAATCAAGCCTTGTTCGCTTCCGGGGAGCACAGTGTGAAGAAACAAACGAACCCACGTTAGTGTACGCAATGGGCGGGTTTTGTTAAACAATCACGGTGCAGTGATTGGTCGAAAGGTTCGCAATACCTCGCCCATTTGCTCTTTTCTCAAAATGTGATTGGTGTACATGATAAAAAGCTGTGCTGTGATTTGATGTCTTCACTGTCCTTCGTGCTACAGTGATTGCATAAGTTACCCGAATATAGTTTGAAAAAATGATTTGGAATGCACAATACAACATAAACAACTCCTTAGATAATTGAATTGTTGCGTATGCCAAGTTGATAGTTTTCAATGAAATTAAAATGAAAAATCAAAAATAGCATTTTGTCCCTTGTACCAAGCACCCTTAAGCTATTCTTTTGCATGTGTTAAAAAATGACCTGCCATCACTGAAGATGCCTTTATTTACCTTCAGGTGATCTATAGTAGTCATGGCCCGTACCAAGCAGACTGCCCGTAAGTCCACTGGAGGCAAAGCCCCACGTAAACAGCTGGCCACAAAGGCTGCTCGCAAGAGTGCCCCTTCAACTGGTGGTGTGAAGAAGCCCCATCGCTACAGGTGAGAATACATTGGGTTTTTCTGGGTATATTGGAAATAAAAACAGCACAAGAGATGCTACAGTTTTAAGTTCATTTATACATATGTAGGTGTAAACTAAAACTAAACTGGCTTAGTGATGGATTCACTAGTTTTCTGCTGACATTTTAGTTCACTTATAAATACAGTAAGTCTGCTAACAAACCTAACCACAAAGTGCAGTAGTGTATGTATATTATGAATTTAGACTTTAAAATATTACAGAAATATTCTGAGTATAACTTGTATCATGTGGTCTCAGACTTCTTTTAGAAGAAAAGACTGAGATATACACTTGCCCTTCCAACAGTAAGCAGAGATGCAGGATGAAGATAAAAGACTGCTGAAATCCAAGATGGATAGATAGTGTGTGAAAAAGCAGACCAGTTTGCCTGCTTACACCTCAAATTTTGTGTTTGTTAATTTGTGCCTCTCCTTTCCAGGCCTGGTACTGTGGCTCTGCGTGAGATCCGTCGTTATCAGAAGTCCACTGAGCTGCTGATCCGCAAACTGCCTTTCCAGCGTCTGGTGAGAGAAATCGCCCAGGACTTCAAGACTGACCTGCGTTTCCAGAGTGCAGCCATTGGTGCTCTGCAGGTCAGTAGTACTCACCATAGGAAGTTATTGAATACCATGTTTTGTCATTCCAAATACAGTAAAAACCAGTGTTTTGTCTCTGCCATCTGTAGGAGGCCAGTGAGGCCTACCTGGTGGGTCTGTTTGAAGACACCAACTTGTGCGCCATCCATGCCAAGCGTGTCACCATAATGCCCAAAGACATCCAGCTGGCACGTCGTATCCGTGGGGAGCGTGCTTAAAATGTTTTCTGATTTATTATTTGCTGTCCTCTTGTCCCTTCACCACTCTTT